CCCTACTGAGCATAAATGTCATTTCTCAACTACTGGCCATTTGAATTTCATCTATGAATTACCTGCTCTTGTCCTTCGAACATTTATATATTAAAATATAAAGCTAATCCTCTGACGTGAAGGGATTCTTTGTATCTTAGGGTCATTATGCAGGCTGTGCCTTGTGTCTGTCACTTATTTGTCTTGTATTTTTGATATGGTTTCCAGCCCTACAGAAGCTTTACATTTTTATGAGGTCAAGTCTGTCCATTTTTCTCCTTTAGAGCTTCTAGGTTTTGTGTCTCACTTAGGAAGGTTTTCCCCACTCCAAGAATATAAAATACATGTTATCATATTTTCTTCCAGTACCTTAATAATTCTGTATGATAGCTGGTGTCAAACTGTCCTCCAGAAAGGTTTTTTTTTACCAATTTACAACCCAACGGCAATGCATGGGAGCCCTACTTCCCCACCCCCTCCCCAGCCCTGAGCATCTGCAATCTTCTCAAATCTTTGCTTATAATAGTGAGCCACGTGTATCCCATTTTAATGAGCATTTCTTTAATTATGAGTGAGATCCAGAATCTTTTCATATGGCTATTAGCTATTAGTTATTTGTTATTTCATTCTCTGTGAATTGCCTGAGCCTATCTGGGCCCAGGTTTTTCCACTGGCCACCTGTCTTTGTCTTAATGATAAGGGGCTCATTGAGGAAATGAGCCCTGTGTCCCGCCCCTGAGCAGTAAATAAGTCCCCCGGATTTATTGCTATCTCTGTTGTCTGCAAGCAGCACCTGTTGCTGAGGCTTGGTGTAGTGGGAGGGGGAGCAGCAAGCCCTCACCACACCCGGAAAGTCACCTTGTCAGCAGCCCGGGCGCCCCTGCACATGGCACACCCCTGGGCCAGCCCTTCCCTTTAGGGTGTCCTCTTCTGAACATTCATGTTAAAGATTTTTCCCTCCAGCTCCACCTCATTTATTTGCCTTTCACTTTCCAACATCCCTTATTCCTCATAATTTCCGGTAAAGAGGATGTCCCTTTGCACTTTCTAGCCCTATGATAGATGATTTTAAATACATATTTTTTTGGTTATGGTCCGAGGGCTGGGTGGGAATAGAGAGGTTGTAAACAGTCCCTTATTACCATTCATTCCAGCTGTAATTCTTACATAATCACATAACTGATTTCTCATATTTCTTGCAGTTTCAAATTTGATTTTTCTCCAAGCTTTCAGACCTACGATCATGTCATCTGCAAATAATGATCATTTTACCAAAGACATGTTAGCAAGCTTGCATTGCTGAGCCCACTCTCATTTACACAAGCTAAGTGACAGGGCAGGCAGTTTTGAATCGGAAAAAAAAATAAAAATCACACCTGTAGGCCGGAGGCTGCTGGTCGGCTGGTCCTGGGCTGGGGCAGAAAGGTTTCCGCAAAGTGGCTGAAGAACAGCAGGAGGCGCTCTTTGCAGCAACAGCCACGCCTCCCAAGGTCTCGGGTGTGGCTTCCTGGGCCGTCGCTTACTGGTATTAATATTGGTAATCAGTAGATGTAATCGTAACGTTCACGGATTGGTCAGGGGCCTCTCGCAGGTGTCCCGAGAACCCCACCGGGTCCTCCTGCTGGAAGTGCTGGGGGGCCCCCCGTCCTTCCTCTGGGCACCCCCTCCGTTCTTGCCTCTCCCTATAAGCTTTCAAAGTCTCCAGTGGCTCCGCTCCCGACCCTCCTCCGTCCCTGTTTGTGAGCCTCTCCCCAGGTGCCACTGAACATCAGCCTCACCAAATGGTCCTGATGGACAGGATTCGGGGTCAAACAAGGTTGAGAAATGCAGACTCCCTCTTGAAAATGGGCTGGCACTGTAAAGCCTCCAGGGGTTTAGTGCCGACCCCACCTGGTCACTGTGTTTAAGCTGCTGGTGCCCCTGACCTGTGGAGCACAGGCTGGGTGCCCCTCACTGGTCCTCGTTCTACAGAGTGTGTTTGCCAGGCCCACCGTGGGGTGTGCCGGCTCCCAGGGCCCTGGGTGGGCCAGGACTAAGCAGCACCGTGCAGTGGGGGGGGGTGGGGGAGCGCGAGCTGTCACAGATGTTCCCCACAGCTAGGCCGGGGCATCTGTCTCCAGGGAGATCCCAGCTCCCAGTGCTGTCTGATGGGCAGGAGAGAGGCAGAGGTGGCAGCCAGAGCCCCTCAGGCCGAGAGGGACAGAGCTGCGCCCCAGGCTACGCCCAGGAAGTTGGGTCTTGGCAAGCTGGTGGGCTGCAAAGCTGAAATGACCCCTCCTCTGGGAATTCATGAGACAGTGAGTGGGCAGCACACAGACTCTGAGGAGCCACTCCACAGCCAGGCTCCAGATGGCAGAATAACAGCCACTCAGGGGCCTCGGCCGGTGCCTTCTCTCCAGGGCACTACCATGATTAGGGCTCAGTTTCAATGACCCCCAAGACTTTCTCTGCCCCATTCAAGCTTCAAATTCCTGGGAGAGCACATGTGATTGACTGAGTGGACCAAGCAGCATCGCCAGGGGACAGGGGCTGGGTCTGCACGGGCCCCAGCAGCCTGCGAAGCCTGCCTGCCCGTCTGTGCACAGGGCCTGCTGTGGGGAAGCGAGGGCCTTGTGGAAAACAGTGAAGGACGAGTCAGTACTTACAAGGCCAGGCTTGGAGCACGTGGAGAATAAGCATCATCTGAGGTTAGTCCTGAGGCTTATGAGCTGGAAAAGCTGGTGTGCTGAGATCTGAGGATGGCAGCTGGGCCCTGGCCAGGCTGGTCAGCCACACCGGCTCCTTCTAGGGGAAGTGCGGAGGCTCAGACCGGAACCCCGTGTTGAGAAAACTGCATTCAGTGCCCTTTCAGAATATAGGTGTGCCCTTCTCAACGAGTCCTTACTGTGTCTCTGAGGGCCAGCAATAAAATGCTCATTTAATAGAGAGAGTAACAGCAAAGCTGATAGCCCCCATTCACGAAGTGCTTTCCAGGGGCGGGCACAACCCCACGAGGCGGGCATGATCATCCGATTTTATAGATATGGAAGCTGAAGCACCGGGAAGCCACAGGCTCACCCCAGCTTCACAGGCGGGAAGGGTAGAGCCCAGGTCTGAACCCAGGTGTCTCTAACTCCAGAGCCCATGCCCTTGGCCCCTAGGCAGCAGAGCCTCATCTCATTCCTGTACACATACGTGCCTGCGACCATATGTCCGTCTGCCCCACCTGGCTGCCTGCCCATTTATACCTGTTCTCCCGGCACAATTGTCGCCTCCTTTCACCCTCACAAAGCGTCCTGGTTTGGATGATACATTTTAAGGGAATGCGGCTAGGGGGGAACCTAGATGGTCATGGCAGGATGCCGGTAAGCACGGGTGGAACACCTGGTCTGCAGCTGCCCCTCGCTGCCCAGAATTCTGGCTCTCAGTGCCCGTTCTCCTGGGGTGGGTCTCCGTTATGTTAGTGAGATGGGCCTCATGCCCCCAGGCCCCTTGGGCACCCTGCCGAGCAGGCTCCTGGGGTTTCTGTCACTCCGAGGCTCCTGTTTCTGCTGTCCCTGGTCCTAGCCCCCAGGCACGCACTTACCAGGGTCCCTGTTTCCATGCACCAGCCGAGCTGGGAAAGAGGCCACTGTGCTCCCCAGTGCTCCCTAAGGGCAGCTGTGCTCTGAGTTACGGTGGGTGCCGGAACTTAGGGCTTTGGAACCTTCTTGTCGGAGTTTGCAGGTGGGTCCCGGGAGCACAGGCTTGGGCCCTACAGAATGGCCCATCCTGGAAAGGGTGCAGATGGGAAGGACAGAAAGGATGACACTGGGTGCCATTTAACTGGGCACTGGGAAGTCAGCATTGAGTCAGACACAGTTCTTGCCTAGGGAAGGGGGAGGGCAGGCGCTACAAAACCAGCCCTATGGCTAATGAAGTAAAGCTGTGGGGACAAAATGCAACTCTCGCACAGAAGAAGAGACAAGCCGAGAAGGTGTCTGGGTCATCGGTTGCCCAACAAATGAGCCCGTAACTCGAAGGCCTCCTGCTAGACGCGCTGGCTGCTGGCTCCTGGGTCTTCTGTGCTGACTGGGCGGCCCTGCCAGTCTTGGCCAGGCCTGGCTACAGCTGCTCCGGGACGCGGGCCTGGTGGGGGTCTGCCTTGGCCCATTCTTCCGGGAGCGGCGGGCCATGTTGGGGAAGCTGCTCGTTGCGACAGCCGAGGCCCCAGAGGGCAAAAGTGCCTCCGACCCAGCGCATCCAGGCTGTGCTGTAGGCCTCACAGCCACGTGCCACCACCAGGGCAAGTCATGCAGCAGAGCCCAGGCAGAGGGGCCTGGAGGCATTCAACCCCACAGCGTGCGGGGAGGGGCATAAATATCTGCCAGACAATAATCCAAACCTCACAGGAGGCTTCCCAGGGCCGGTGTCATCTGACCTTGGCCTTGAAGGAGAAATTGGATTTTTCCGAGTGAAGATGGGACAGGGCGCTGCTGTCAAAGGGACAACATGTGGGGGTGGGGGTGCTGTGAGGAAGCAGTGGCTCCCTGAGCTAGAGGCCTGGCATGCCCTGGGACACAGTACTCCCCCAGCCCCTCCACTCATCATTTTCTTTATTTCCAAATTCCAGAACTTCAACTATGTGTCACCAAACACAAGTTCAGGACTCAGCTTTTAGCAAGATGCTGCACAGGGAGAGTGACACTTACCTCTGTACTGGGGCTCACCCTGGCCTCACGGCATGGACCAGCCCATTCCATAGCCCGCCCACTGCATTTCTGAGTTAGGGATTCCAGCCTTGCGGCCCCGCAGCCACATCCCCAGCGGGCGCCAACACTGCCCTCCTCGGACAGACTCCCCGATGACAGGGCCAAGTGGCCATGAGGTGAATGGAAATAAAAGGCTCAGGAACGGAGGCGGGGGAAACCCATTCTGGAAGGGGCGGCGTGAGTGGGGGGGACGGTGTGCACGCGGAGCGGGGGCCACACGATGGCGGGAAGGACGGCTGCAGCACAGGCTGCTGATACACAGTGAAAATAAGAACTCACAGCCCTGGGAGCGGATGGAGAGAGGAAGGGCGTGAGCATGTGTCCTCACCCTAAATCGCAGGCCGCCCAGAGATGCCATCTACAGTTGAAACACGTTTGAAGATGAAATTCAGCCTCTCTTTACTTTTGGAGAAACAATTTAGAACTGCAAGAAGCACAATTATTTGCAGCTTGGCAATTTCTTTATGTACATTTAGGTTTCCTTTTGTTCTGTTAAAGGTAAATATATTTTTTCCAAAAAAGAGCAAGTACTGTGTGAACCCTTTTGGTAAAAATTTCCACCCATCTACGTGCACTGTCCTCTGAGTATGTGCCCGAAGGACGTCCGTGGATGGCCCTGCGGATGCTCACTGTTCCGGATCCCTCGGACATTTTCTTCGTCCTCTTCAGCGTTACCTGAGTTCTTATAATGAGCCCGCGCTACTATCATAAAACGAAAAGCCTTAAAAAATATTAAAATCTATTTCTGGAAAAGAGAAAACCCTGAACTGCGCTCCTGGGGCCAGGCTGCTCGCGGGCGCCTCCGCCGGGCTCAGGGCGGCCAGTGGTAGGGGCCCAGGGGGCTGCCTGCTCTCCCGGAGGCCCCCGCCCGGGGACGTGGCTCACCCCAGTGCCATCTGCCAGGGGTGGAGCTGGCGACCTGGCCTGGGCTCCACGCCCAGCCAGCGCCTGAGCCTCCCTGGGCCTTCCTCAGCTGCGACCCCGAGAAGTCCTCCCCCTGCCTTACGTTTGGGGTGCTGTGAGGGCCACGTGACACACAGCGTCTGATCGTCCACAGCGAGAGGCCGCCACAGAGACTCATTAGCACACTGGGCCGTCACGGGACTCAGTTCGACCCATCACCACCAACCCAACCTAAAGGCGAAACCTGTCTGGGTCAGGGGCTCTCTGGCCGGTTCTGGATCCTGACAGCCACGCCTATGGTCTTAGCTCCACCTAGTGTCCCCACTGGGCACGGTCACATACAACCGGCTTACTGGAGCACCGCAATTTCCCTACTTGCAAAGGGTACAGCGCTCATTAGGCAAACAGGACCTAAATAAGATCAACTTCATCCATTCCTTCCTGCACCGGGCTTATGCATTTCAAGGTAAGCACTATACAAATTCAGTGCTTCTAAAGATTTCTGCATCCTGTCTTTGAAAAGACAGTATATTCATGCAACAAATAATGACAATTGACATTTACTGAGTGTTTGCTATGTGCCGGCCACAACTAAGTGCTTTAATTGTCTGAGTTCATTTCAACCTCTTCAATGCTGTAAAATGGGTGGTGATGGGGGCTTATTGTCCCACTTCATAGGTAAGAACGCTGAGGCTAAAACTAGAATTCGGCACTTTGCTAACTTCTGAGGGGAAGCAGAGGCTGCCTGGTGGGGGTGGGCATGAGAGGGGAGCCAGACAGGAAGCTGCTAGGACGAAGGGCAGGGAAGGAGCAGAGCTGAGGAAAGGGCTGCCTCCTTGGGTCTGTTTTGGCAAGGAGGAGATGAGGCACAGCCGTGCACTGACGGGGAAGAGCTGCGCAGCGATGCAGGTCGGGAGGAGAGGAGGGGTTTGGAGTGCCCCTGGGGGTGCTGGCTGTCTCTGGTGGGCTCCCTGCAGGGAAAGGCCCAGGGTCAGGGGCCAGGGAGTGGACTAGGGTGCTAATAAAGGGAAGCTGGCAGAGGACAGGCAGGCTGAGAGAAAGGATGCAGGGTAGAGTTCTCGGTGGGGTCAAAGGACAGTGCGTGTGTGGACCAGAGCAGAAACAGTGGCTCAGGAAGTCAGGGTCAGAGAAGGGATTTCTGAGTAAGATTTCAGAGGAGTTGCCTTTATGACAAGCCTTGGGTGTGGCTGAGGAAGTGGGTCTGAGGGCAGCGTGAGGCTCTTCGCTATTGCGGAGGCTGTTCCCGTGGACCTGCTGGGCATGGGAGAGGACGGGGGCTTGGGGGTGTGGAAACAGAGACAAAGTCCTCGGTGAGGTGGGGGCCAGGGCTAAAGGCCAGTGCCTGACAGTGGGGCATCGCGCGAGGAGCATCAGAGGCCTGAACCTCAGGAGGGAGGGGCCTCAGGGGAGGGTCTGCAAAGGGTGCTACCGGAGTGCCCACTGTCCTTGGTGACCATGCCTCCAAAGGAACGACGTGCCCCACTTCCTCCTGCACTGCTCGGAGTGAGCACAACAGCGCGGCCAGCAAGAACACACAATGGGCAGGCCCAGAAAACCCCCCCCCACAGTCTGTGCCACGCGGGGGGCAGCAAGAAAGGCTTTCCCCCCCATCTCACCAGAGGCCGAAGGAAAACACCAAATGCAGGTGCAACCTTATTGTGCTGCTTTTAATTATGAAAGGTGTAAAATGATGCATTATAAAACTTGGAAGCTACTTTGTACAAATTTCAATCTTTAAATATTGTTTAACGAGGGACCTGGAAGTTAGGACACTGGCAGGAAGTCTGATAATTGCCGTGATGTTTCCATCAGGAAGTAGTGGAACCACCTGGGCATAAATCAGAAGCGCTGACAACAACTCAGAATCGGAAATGTCTTCAAATACGTGAATGGACTGGAATACACAACATTTCAGCTCAGGTAATATACAGTAGACTCAGGAGAAATAAAACAGGACAAAGGAGAAGCTGCTTCTTGACATGATCAAAAAGATTTTCTCCTAACACCATCTGTCCTTAAAACCACAACTGTACAGAAAGAAAAATGGAAAAGGCTTTTAGTTCTATGCTGTTTAACTGCTAGTAAATGAGAGTGGTACAGTCAAATGATTTCTTGTGACGAAACTGAATATTGAGACTTAGTTTATTCTGAAGAATGCAGCCCCTCAGCTGCCACGGACCAAGCCGGGTCTGCTGCAAAGGCAGCAATGAATGCAGACTTACCTGCCCAAGGTCAGAGCAACACCTGTCTGTGGGTGTCCTTGACGCCAGCTAAGCAAAGTGGGTGGGTTATATAATGCCCAAAACCTTTCACAGGAAAAGATTGGACTGATGGACCTAAGGATAAACTGACTTCAGTGCTAAACCTACTGTCACCACTATACTTCCCCAAACAGGCCACCTTCCTGGGAGCCTCTGCCTCGGTGGGTCACCTGGAGAATGCCCTGGGGCGGCCCCCATGGTGGTGCAGGCCTCCAGATGTAAGGCAGGGCTGCTGCGTCCATGAGGCCTGGGGCCCGACACTGATGTCCCCCATGGGGAAGGCCCTGTGCTGACACTGGATTATGCTGGGACCTCTGCTCTTCAAAAAAAAATCCCCCTAGCATCAGCACCACATGCTGTCTCAACGGCCAGAGCAGATCCGGGGCCTTGGCCGGAGGAAAGGACGCAGGGAGTGGGCTCCTTTGGGCCCGCGGGCTGCTGTGTGCATGCCGAGGAAAGGCCCCGTGGCTATGCAGCAAGTCGCCCCCCCTGAGCTCTCAGGTGTAAAGGGGTATGAGGTGAGCTGGGAGTAAGGCTCGCAGGGGAGGCCGACCGCCCCCTCCTGAGCCAGGGCTCGGGCCAGCAGGGCTCTGGCGCACCTCCGGATTCTGCAGCGGGATTTGGGGCTGAGGAGCAGCAGGGACACTTGGATCCCACAGAGGCGGCTGAGCAGTACACAGCGGGCTTGCTGGACAGCCTGAAGGTCAGGCGGCCCTCTGAAGACCAGGGAGGCAGGAAGGTCTGGAGACATTGACGCCCAGGACCCTGGACAGACCCTTCCTGCTGTAAGGGGACGGACAGCTTCGGGCCCACACAGCACAACCTTGGGTCTTGGGTGGGAGAAATCCAGTGCTCTTCGGCGACACTCCCAGGTCTACGCAGGAGAAGGGTGGCATCTTTCTTTCTCCTTTGTGTCCCCGCTATCCCCACCCTGCCTTCCCATGCCCGCATTCCACCCCACTGGCCAGACCCCTCCCAGAGGTGCCGCTGGCCCCCGACCCACCAGTCGGCCTCTGGTCAGGGCCTGAGTAGGAGGAGACAGGTGGGGACAAGTCTGGTAATGCTGTGTCCCGTAAGGTCCTGAGGACTACTGACGGCTTCAAGGATTCAGCCTTCATTTTTCGGGAGACTACTTCTCCAATCTCAAGGAACGAATCCCTTTTTAAAGCAATTTGGAGGAAAACATGGATCTGCGAGGGAAGGTGTTTTGAGGCCTGGCCGGGATCCCTGGGGTTCCTGCACGCGGGGGGCCTGTTTGCTCAGCTGCCCCAGAGGCGCTCAGCAGACAGTCTCTGCAGATCTACTATGGAGCATGGCCTGGCGATCTAACTGTGGATTGGGTCACCCGGTGTTAACAGCATGGTAACGTGCGTGCTGAACCACAGGCACGAGCGTTAGAAAAGCTAAAGCTCTGAGAAGGTCTGGCAAGGAGCAGGGAGAGCTGAAGAGGAGACGGCCTTCCGGCAAGGCAGATCACCCGCTCGCCCAAGGCTGCATCGGCACGCAGCTATGTGGCCCTACTCAGCGCCAGTACTTGCTGAGTGCGGGGTCCATCGCTGGGTAAGGCACAGGCCTGCCCTCCCGGAGCTTGCGGTCTGGTGGTGTGAGAGGAACACACACGCTCCTCAGAGAGGCAGCGTCCCTCCGCTGCCCAGCTGCCGGACGGGTCTGATTCAGACCCCCAGCTGCCCCTCCAGCTGGTCTTGCGGAGTGGGGGGCCTGTACTTGTCTGGAGCTCCTCGGGGGGCATCACGTGTCTGTGAGATGCCAATGGCTGCCCCTCCCGGCTTCCCTGGCCACCAAGGAAAAGCGCTGTTCTCTTCAGGCTCATCCATTACCAGGAATTTCTTTCAGTGACTGAGTAAGTCTTCCTTTCTCTCTTGTCCGTAGGAAAAGGTGCCCTGAAGCAGCAGAAAAGAGGTTACAAACTGGCAGGACACAAATCAGCGTTCAGTTTGCTTAAGTCAGGTCTGTTCTCGGACTCTTTTTTGTATTAGAATGAAGGCATCTGAGCGAGCCATGGCTGCCCGGCTGGCGGGGGCCAGAGGAGGCACTGTGGTGCTGGGGTGCCGCAGGGTGGAGCCGGGCCAGCTCCCAGAGGCCTGTCCCGACTGCCTCCCACTCCGGGCCCTCCATTCAGGGCTGACCGAGACCAGTGGTTCTGACGGCTGCCGGGGCCTCCCCTTACGTGACATTTCCTACTCTCACACATTGACCGACTGGCTAGACGGCCCATAAAAGGATGCAATGGCCACAGTGATGGCCAGTCCACTGGAAGCTCCAAAGCTGCCTGCCTTGAGCACCATCACCTGGGCTGCAGGCCCGAGCGGCGGTGCGTAGCTCTGCGGCCTGGCATTAAGCCACGGTGTGCGACGGGACCTCATCTGGGAGCTGGGAGCCGTGCAATCGGTTCCTTCCATGTCAGAAGCCCGAGATAACTAAAGCCCAGGGCGCAGCTGGCTCCGTCCTATTCCACTCTACCCCAGCTGTTCCGGAAATAAAGGCTGCTGTCCCATTCCACTGTGCTCACAGCCGGTCAGCTCGAAACGTGTCTTCAACAGCGGGGTCGAGAAGGCCCATGCCGGAGCCACTCAACATGCTGAGCCCATCCAGGCTCAGGGGCTCGATCTGGAGCTCCTCTTCCAGGGGGAATGGGGTGTCCATGCTCAGGCCGGCCTCAGGCGTGCCTGCCAGCGCGCTGCTGAGGTCTTTGAGCAAGCTGGGAGTCGAGTTTTCTGGAAGGAGCGGCAGGAGGGAAAAACAGTGCAGGTTAGGGAGCACGAGGGCCCTGGGCTACCAGGAGGGCGCTGCCGCCGCCGTCCCCCACAGCGCCGTACAGCGCCGTCCCTGCCAGCTTCCCAGCAGGCCTGGGGGCGTCTCCAGGCCAGCAGCCTCTCGCTGGAATGTGTGCTTTTCCGGTCAGTTCCATGCCTCCCAGTTTCCACACGTTTGCTCCCTTTGGACAGCTGTCAATCACTCAAAACTAAGTATTGCAGAAAGGGCTCCATTTCACCAGGCCCACTGCCCACTGCCTCACGGGCCGTGGCGCTGGACACCTACACCTCAAAAAGGGAAAGCTGAGCTGCGGGACTTTCATTTCTTGCTCTACATAATGCTGTTGTTAAACTATTTTACAAGGGTTATCTGTAAAAACAGGGCAAAATGAAAACAGTAAAGACGCTGAGGGGCAGCCACACTCACCTGTCAGGATGGCATTGGGGAAATGCCCACAGTTGGAATACAGGTTTGGTCTCAAGTGAAATGGGTCCTGTGGCTCTCCGGGACCTTGTTGCACCAGGGGCACCTGGATGTGTCAAAGGTCACACTGTGAAGCACCGTCTCTGCCTCAAGGCGTGAATAATGCATGTGCTCCCAGAGCAAAAGCAGACACGAACCCTGTCTCAGGGTCCCTTCCTGCTAGGGTCCCGGACTGCTCTGCTGTGACAACCCACCCGTGATACTCTTGCCAGGCAGGCAGGTACTGGGTGGGGAGGGGCAGCCGAGGTCCACAGTGCCAGTGCCTTGTCCCTGGTCACACGCTGCCCAGCCCACTGGGCCATCCCAGGAGACACCAACAGTTGTGATTCTTGTGGCCCCTCTCGTGTCTGACACCTCCCCTCGTCAGCCACACCGAGACCTGTGGAGACTACCAACTGTGGGAAGCCTTCAGAGGCTCCACCTTTAACCGAGGAAGTGATGTGACCAGTGGCTCTTTTCCTCTTTGGTTTCTAGAACAATGAGAAAGTGAAACCCTTTCCTTCTCACACCCAGAGGGAGGAACCTCAGGCAGGCAAGCCCTGTGGCTGAGTTAGTGGGGCCTATCTTCAGAGCTACTCCAGAAACTAATTTTCCAAATCACTGAAATGTGAAAAATTAAAAAAAAAAAAATCTCTCAAAAGTAGGACTTTCCATCATTTTTCAGGGAGATATACTGACTCACTAGACTAAAATGGCTTCTGCAGGAAATGGGGAGGAAGGACCGCTGGCTCTCACCACGTGGGGGGCTTTGCCATGGCCTACTCAGGACGCTCTGGGAAGTGCTCACCTTTCCTTTCTCTCTGCTCCATACTGACCCAATACTATAAAATCTAGGGATATCAAACACGGTCAGCGCTAGGGAGAAACTAGAGAGCAAAGGGACGGCCAGGGGAAGCGGCACAGGGAAGGGGCCCTGCCCGCACCGGGACCGGCCCTCCCAGGCCACACACCATGCAGGGCACGCAGCTGGCCTGCAGGCTAAGCGCTCCCCGGGACTCAGCCTCCACAACAGGACACGCTGGGGACTGCTGTGGCCCCTCCCACAACTCTGGGACTAGAGTGGCCTCAGAAGTCTTATACCGCTTGTTCAAACAGTCCCTCTGTGGAGGCGGGACGCTCGAGGCGCCAGCACTTCAGGGCCGAGGCAGAGGCCGGGCTCTGCTAAGCCCCGAGGACACTTCCACTCAGGGCAGAGGAGTGGGCCTGGTCTATCTGAGGGGGTTCCACATACGCAACAGTCTAAATGGTGCAGTTCCTGCTCCGAAGGGGCAGGCCTGGATGACCACTCACCTGCTGGGGGAAGGACGGGCCTACCCTCATGGACTGCTGGTCAAAGCTCACGTCTGGGAAGAAGCTGGTCAGCGATGAGCCCTTCAGGGAATAAGGAGGGGACCGTTCAGCTTGGAACCCGCAGAAACATAAGCACTCCCTCCCTCCCAGGGCTCCTTCTGGGGTTCACCTGGGTGGCGGGGAGCTGGAAGTCTGGCTGAGGAAGTGACGAGGCTGCCTGGGGCTCCTGGGCACGGGCCTGCTGTAGGAGGGGCGGGGGCAGCTCCTGGGCTGTGGGGTAGGGGGGCGGCGGGGACACTTGGGCTTGAGCTTCTGTGGGTGGAAAGGAAGGCTGGCTTTGCTCTGAGGGCACCACCTGTAAACAAACAAAGCCACTGGTCAGCTCAGCTCCGGGTCTCTGCGAGTAAGTCCTTCAGCATCAGGAACCGTCAGCACGAGGGAAACGCCCGGAACCCCCCTTCACCAGCGCACTCTGTGCTATGCTCTGAGAAGCCCATTTCTGATCCTTCAAAGTGTGTCTCAAATCTCGCTTCTCCACAAAGCATTTCCCATTCAGTGACAATTTCTACTGTCGTTAAAAAAAAGCCGATTTAACCAGTTTCCTCTTAGTTTTCTCAGTGAAAATCATGTTTGTTTCTCTAACATCGTAACTTCTGGTTAAAGATGGAAGACTGAAACAAGCAGCTGGCTCTGCGGCCCCCCCAAACTCTACCAAAAATATTAAAACAATATTAAACAATAAACATGAAAATAATAAATAATACTAAAATGACAATAAAAAACATGAGGACAAAGACAATAGGAGAGAAGAAAATGGCAACAAAATTTGGAAAATGAAAAGCAGATGGACAAGTGGTAGCCAGCCAGCTTAGCAGAGCTGAGAAAGACGCTGGGCTGGCGGTGGGGAAAAACCAAGGGGCAGTCGGACTCACGTGACACGATCCCCAAAGGAACCGGGGCGGCAGGGGGCAACAGGCAGGAATAAAATCGGGGGTCTCATCAAAGTTTGCGGGAGGGGCAGTTGGGCCATGCGCACTGCCGACTGGGAGACTGCAGGGCTGCACGCTGGTGGCCTCGCTCGGGGTCTCCGGACGGGGCACACCGCGCCCAGGAAGCTGAGGCGCTCGACACGAGGGCAGAGGGCTCAGGAGAAAGCCCACTACTGAATCCTGAGGGCTCCGCCTCTCTTTTCTGACTCAGCTCTCGCAAGGCTGGAATCCGGGCACATGCCCAGGAGCAATGTGGGAATAGTGTCTTTTGGGGATCTGACTGACCTGAAACAGAATCCTAAAACTTACACGATCAGAGGTTCCCCGAGCCAAGCTAGGTCATTCTACAATGAAGAACACATGTAACAAGGCCACTCATCTATGTAGAGCTTCCAATCAAATTTTTTGTGTCCTCTTCTTAAATACAAGCAGGGCGCCAAGCATCACTAGACCATGAGAAAAACATCTGAATGAAAGTCAGAGGCCAAAGCAAACACACGGAGAAAAGAAACCTAGGGAAATCCATGTAGGAAGGAGTACCCATGAAAAACAAAACTATCATTATAATATTTAGGCTATTAAAGAAATCCTTCTCTGTTAGAAACACGTATTAAAAATATTTGCGACATGTATCTCTAAATACATTTTTTTAAAGTGGGAATATGGATGAAATAAAACTACAAAAATGTCAATAATTTTTGCGGCTAGATGATGGGTAGAGAAGGATTCATTACATTATATTCTCTACTCTTATGCAATTAGGAAAATTTTTATTACAAAAAAGAAAAGAAACCAGAGCAAAAATTACCACTGAAACCCTCAGAGAGATGAAGAATGACACCATATACATGGAATAAGTATGATGATGATACTATAAAAAAGGAAAACTCTGAGAACAAAAATGAATTCTTGGCAATTTATAAAGTATAAGAGCAGAAATGAAAAACTGAACATAAAGACTGGAAGAGAAAGTTGAGAACCTCTTCTAGGAAGCAGAGCAAAAAGTGGAGAGAAATGAGGATGTTAGAGGAAAAGTACCGGATCCCCAAATTCATACAGAGGGAGTTCCAGAGAGAACAGAGAAAATCAAAGGGAAGCAATCATCAACGATATAAATGAGAAAAACTTCCCAGAAATGAAGGACATGAGTTTCTAGATGGAAGAAACCCATCAAATATCCAGACTTTGGTTATCAAGGCATGTTATATGGAAGTTTTAGAACCCTGGGGACAGAAAGGGGATCCTAGAAACCTCCAGTGGAAAAAAAGGAGCTTTAGTCCAAAATCTAAGAATTAAATCCACTGGATTTCACAACAGCAACTCTAGAAACTAAAAGGCAATGGATTGACACCTTCAAAATTCCAAAAAAAAATTGTTTCAAATTTGAGTTCTGTTTCCAGCCAATTACCAGTTAAATGGTGGGTGGAATAAAGACATGTTTAAGTCATGCCAGGTCACATGTACTCTTTCTTGTAAAGCGATGATTTGTTTTTAAATGTACTAACTAAGAGGAGAGCTGCCCAGCCCTGAGAGTTTGGGATTGAGTAACACCTACATAGAAAGCCAGACCAACAAAAAATAAGGCAGTTATTAATTCTCAGGAGAAAATAAATGTTCATTCTGTTATTTCATAGCATACTATATGGTTCACTCTGAATGCATTACTCTGTGAAAGCACCGAACACTAAGTATTGCTCCGATCAGAATTATAGCAAGCCTCATTGTGAACTGAGGCAGGGGAAATAACATGGTGTGTGGGCGATTGGTTTTGGGACATTTGAAAGAGAACTCAATCCTCATCTTCCATGGTAGGATGTTATTACCTAACACTAAAAATCTAAAACAAAATAAGCACGAAATAACATGGTTTTACCAGAGAGATTAGCTGAAATGCTTGAAAGCATCATCTCTAGGTAGTAAGAAATATGGGCGGCAGGGGAGGGCAAGACAACTTTAGAACAATTTGATTTTTGTTTAAAAAGCCCTTTAGAACTATTTGATTTTTTTCAACTGTGTGCATGGATAATGGTTTTTTTTTTAATCTTAATCTGAAGCAAATAAAAAATGAAAGCACCTGCAAGAGGGTGCCATCTACCCCTAGTCTCCTACGGTACCCAGGAAGCAAGAGTAATATTTTCATATCCTATAAAATAATCTTGAAAAATAAAATTAAAGGCAATCCAGTAACATAGGACCACTGGAAAAAACAATTATGAAATACCCTCTCACTCTCTTCCCAAGACCCTGTAGCTAGTAACTGGCAAGGAGTGACTCACGGCTGGACCCGCTGCCACCTTCCACTGTGTTCTGTCAACCCCTCTTTGCTGAATCATTACTCATTTATGGGGAAGAGGTGCGTAGGTGATATTTTAATGTATCTATGGAGTGACCAACAGGTTAAAAATACATTCACTGATGCCGTCGGGAGGAGAGCCACCCTGAGCTTAGAAAAAAAACAAAGTCAACAAGTCAAAATATGATGTTTGAACCCCACGTTTCTGCAACAGGTTTGTGACTTCACAATGTGCCTCTTAACAGACTTCCCTGCGTCCTTTTATAGAGGTGTGATCTTCTTATACCCAGTATTTCATGAACAATGGAAGCGCTGTTTCTCAGATCTGCCGTCATTATTAGGGACGCAGGCGAAGCCTGCTCACAGGTCGGGAAGGCAGGAGCCGCCTCCCTTCGCTCTCCTCTCCCCTGTGGCTTAAAGTACTTGCAGTCAGTCGGCGAGCTTCGGTGCCAGCCCGGTCCCCCCGCGCTGTCTTAGACCTGCAGGGCCTGCGCTCTGCACCCGCCCCTCTCCCAGGCCCAGCTCTGTTGGCTGGTGACTCAAAGCGCTCAGGGTTTGCTGTCGAGGAACCAACACAACGAATCTGCTATCAGAAAGCATCCTCCCAGTCTGAGTCATTCCCACTTCTACTCTCTCTGATCTCACAGCGAGGGAGACGGCCCTCACCTGAGACCTCACGGCCACTGCCTGGAGTCGTGGGCCTAACCGGTTCCCGCAAGCTTCAGTCTGTGTCCCCGGGAGTTCCTTACCTGTGACGCAGGGTAGGGGTTCAGCGGGCTGGTTGAGGAGAGCTGTCGGCTGAAACCTGGATGTGCTTCGGGGCCGGGGGAGAGCGTGAGGGGGCTGACGGGGGGCTGCCTCCGCCGGGAGGGGCCGCCCAGGTTTGTGGTGGGGAGAGACGGGTTGCTGAGGGAAAACAGACGGAGCGAAGGGTGAAGGGCAGAGTGGCTGGGTGCGGAGGTCGGCAGGTGGCTGTTCAGGGAGGAAGAAAGTGCTGTCTTATTGAGTGCGGCCTGGATGGAGGGGTTACTCCGAGAACTCTGCAGACCTAGAAGACAACAGGTTCACACGTGACTCACCATACTGCAGACCAAATCTTTTCTTTTCCAAAGACCAAAGGGACTTAATTTCGTACTATCGGTATCTGATGACAATCCTGTATGTAAAGGTGCTCCTATCAACTCTCCTACCGAAAATATACCAGACGCACCAACGCAAGGACAAGACGCAGGCAGACAGGGATGATGCCAGCGAGGGGAGAACAAGCTCTTCTTAGAGGAATGAGGACCCGGGGGCAACAGCTGGAGGGCAGGACGAGGTGAGCCGGGGTTACAGGGAGAAGGTTCTGTGCGCTCTGCTCCAGCGCAGGGTGAAGACCCCAGGGCTGTACGACAAGTTGTATTAAGAACCCCCGAATATCCGTCCCAGCACACTGCCTGGAGCACATCCTTTCGCGGGGAGTCACGGCTCACGAATACCCCGGGCACGCCAGGGAGTCACAGGAAGGGACCTCTCCCATGCCTCCTGCCCCAGGGTTCCTTTTTCTTTGTTTTTCTGGCTCCTGTTCATCACAGTCTGTTTCAGTTGAGGGGAAACGAAGTTTTTGAGGGTGCTTTATTTGTGGGGTGGGCAGTGAACTTTGGCGTGAGCACCAGAGTTTGGGAAAGGCATTGACACAGCCTGCTCGGGCACAAGCTCCACAAGGCCAGGCACCCTGTCCTGTGCCCTGCTGGACAGGTGGCACCTGGCCGGGGCCTGGCACGGAGGGGCTTCTCTCCGTGAATGAAGGCTGGTGTTGTGCATCTCAAAAGGCAACACCGTGTTTCCAGGTTCAGCCCGTCATCTCGTACCAGCTGGTGGAATGAACAGAACTGCGTGTTGTTTCACACTGATAGAAAGTCAAGGGTTCAATAAAAGTTATGGAAATGAAGACATGACAAAATAACGCAATTTTGGCTGGCAAATGATTGTTAAAAAGTAGGCAAGATGTCTCTGATAAAACCCTAAGGTGTTACCCCACAACTCAGCCCTCCGTGAAAAGGCAGGAGATTTGGCTGACTCAAACAACAATCACAGCTAATGATCTGAATTCGGATATTTTTAAAAACCCACTTGCTCAGCAAGAAAGTTCAACGATTTTTGAAAAAATACATGTACCATGCATCTTAAGGAGTACATAGAAACTACAAAAACTTGACAGTGGTTTTTATGTGTTCTGGACAGAACAAGCTTTTTTGAGGATGGTGACGGCAGTGATGAAGCCCGGCTCCACCTGAAGTCAAGAGTGAGGGCTCACTGGGGACGCAGCTCCCCCGACCCCGAGGCAGGTAGGCGGTGCTGCTTTGCCACGACCTTGGATGCCCCTGTTCATGAGAATTGCCAGGACACACAGGGAAGGCAGCAGGATAATTAAATGACATCAGTAAATGCAGGTGTTCTCTACAATCCACTCTTCACACCTGAAATCACGTTGCATAACAGCAGCACCAGGGCAGCCACCCGAGAACCTGCCAGGCGGCCACCCACAAGGACTCTCTCGTCCTGAGTGGTAAATTCTGATCTGTGTTCACAATCTTGTTGAACCCAGAGTGGAAACCAGCCGCACTTCCCCAGGCGAAGGACCATCGTGAGCATCTCTTCCAAAGGAAACCACAATTCCTAGGACTGGTGGGGTTGTACCCCATCCTGGGAATTAAAGGGATCAACACCTGCCCTAGACGTCGACAAGAGCATCTGTCAGGGTCCACCAAGCAAGTGCACGCAGACTCATACAGTCACCCCCGAATCACATGACGGGCAGCCCTTTAATACAGCTCTGTGCTGCATTGTGAAGCACTTCTGAAAATGTGAACCGATAGTTTTGAACTGTGGTAGATTTCCATTTAATATGTGTACCTACTAAGTCTAAGTATTTTCATTGTATCCACTATAAACTTTCTAAAATTCAAAATATTCTCTTTTGAAACCCAAAATGAAAACGGAGAGATCTAGAAAGAGATATGTGATCATAAAATACCATCATACGCTGCTAAGAGCCACTAACACTGTCCAACCAACCCAGCAGGAAGGGACACTGTCCCCTTGACTCGCACATCTCATTCATCTCACTCTCTGGGCACCGGGCCCCCCGGGCTAGCAAAGACCGTAAAGAACGAGGTTTAGCAGAGCTGCCCCCAAGCTCACCAAACCCAGCGGGAATCAACCACCAGAGTGACATGCCCGCAGGGCCGGGAGCCCCGCAAACGCGCACGTCAGTCTCTAACTCGGAGGCGGTCACTGTCGTTCAGTGACTCGCTGACAGGCCACCCGGGATTAAGCCACCAGGGGACATGGGCATGGACCTTACTGAGGGGGGGACACTTACCGGAAGGGCTTCTTATGCCCAGGTGAGTCATAGCAGCCGGGAGGTTGCCCACGCTGTTCCCCACGCCCATGCTGCCAAAGCCGTGGTTACCGGCGTCCAGGGAGGCTGGCAGGGGCGCCGAGTAGTGGAGGTTGGTCAGATCTGGCAGTGACCCCCCAGTGTTCAGGGTCCCCAGAAAGGGGGAGAGGCCTATGTTTTGACCGTTGTGTGGAATAGCACTGAAAAAAGGAAGGCAAGTATTACTTTCTAAAATGCATTTGCTGTTGGGGAATAAGACAGAAGATTTTTGTCCTTATCAAATAAGAGCAGAGAGTATCAAAGATCTAAGTCCACTGACTCTCTCCCATTCTGAGAACGTGTGACCTTGGCTTGACCTCTCTATAATGCAATTTCCTTACCTATTAAATTGGACTAAGGATGGCATCTATGCCATCCCCACAGGACTATTTTCCAAGACCAGGTTAGGTTATGGATCCAAAATTAATTTGAAAATTATAAAGCACTAGATGAATTATGGGCACTGCTTTATATTCATATGGTTCTTTTTGCTGGGTTTCTAAATTATCTTTTCTACCAAAAAAAAATAAAGTATCTCTATATCAACCAGATACCTTCCAAGATATATATTTTTAAATTGTAGTTTTACAAACTTTAAAGTGAGGAAGAGATGTTACCATTCACTTATCAAAATCTGTTGGTTGGTCACTGTGTGCCAGGCACGGGCTACGTGCTGGTGGGGCAGTGACGAACGAGCACACCACGTGTTCACGGTCAGGCCCACACCTAACATCCGCAGGCCGGTGGCAAGAGTCAAAGGGAGGCCCCCATACCATCCGTTTACATGCCTGAAAATTACAAATCAAATAAACTAACCCTTAAAGGAGCTACGTCTGTTTCTGTCTTGACAAATTACACCTTCATAACAGCCTGGAAGGCCAGATTCAAATTGAGAATTCCCTGACCCTTGGAGTTTTGCACTAGAACATATAGAAACCCAGCCCTGGTCTTCAGTGCCCCCCTTCTCTGCCCACCCCAGACCTACTGGGCACCAGCCTAGGGCCAAGCTGGGGCCACCCTCTGCACCCCCGTTGGCTGCCCCTCAGGACAGGTGGTGCTCCCCTGTGACCCACGGCAGAGCTCGGACTTCAGGGGAGTGGACCTCGGACATGCAGGGTCTAGGGAGGAGCCTCAGCACAGGGCTGCCGGGCACTGCTCCCCGAGTTCCCAGGCAGGCAGGCAGGCAAGGAGGGCTGGTGAAGCAGGCAGCCGCAGCATGGAAGGAAGCTGCCCAGGCGGGTGTGATAAGCGGTGGGGTAAGCACTGGGCACAAGTGACGCTGGGACGCAGGAGCTGTCAGGGTCAGACGGGCTGCGGAGGAAGGCTTTACCGAGTGTGCTCCTCGGACCTCAAGCAGCTTGGCAGGTGAGGGTCAGGGCAGAGCAGAGAGGCGAGTAGCAGGGTGTAAGGGCGAGAGGTGGGGGAGCGAGGAAGAGAGGAAGTGCTGTCCTGAAGAGCCTGGACCGGGACTAGAGGACAGGGAGCCTGGGCTTACGCTGGAGAACGCCATTTCAGAAACGCCACTTCCATTACGGTGGGGAGGGTGGCCCAAGGGAGCAG